GAATAGGAAGAATAGGAAGGTTTGCCAGAAGGGATATGCAAAATACATTTCCGGCTGAGCACGGTGGTCCATGCCAGTAATTCCAGCACTTTGGGAGGCCAAGGTGGGTGGATCACCTGAGGTCAGGAGTCCAAGACCAGCCTGGCCAACATGACAAAACCGTGTCTCTACTAAAAATCCAAAAAGAAATTTAGCCAGGCATGGTGGCTCATGCCTGTAGTCCCAGCTACTTGGGAGGCTGAGACAGGAGAATCGCTTGAACCCAGGGATGGAGGTTGCAGTGAGGTGAGATCACAACACTGCACTCCAGCCTGGGTGACAGAGCAAAACTCCATCACAAAAGCAAACAAACAAAAACTACATTTCCAACACGGACAACAGCAGAACCAAAACAAAACAAAAGACACACTATCAGATTGTTTCAGCAGAAACAGCTGTCTGGTACAGCCAAAGCTATTTGTTGTAAAGCGTCTGAAGTAAGGTCAAAGACAAATGATGAAGTCAGAAGGCAGAGGAACATGAAGATCAGTTTAATGAAAATAAAAACTTTTATGAGTCTCATAGAAGAATCAATGCAAATTTCTTAGGACGGAAGTAAAATAACCAAAGCAACGTTTTAGGAAAATTACTCTGAATGCACTGTGTAAAATAAATGGAGAAGTGACACTGATGAGAAATCAGGAATAAGGTAAAGCCCTGGACATGTCAGAGAAATGAAACTAGAAAGCAGCAGAAGCAAGGAAAGAATTAAGAATACAGAAGCAAAAGGGAGAAAAGAGTAAGAACCATAGAATATACAAGTTTTTAAGATTAACTGGAACAATGACATTAACTTTCTTTCCAAATGGCTCATTATTTCCATTTTAGTTTGTCAAGCTGAAAGTAAAACAAAGACATCTACTACTCTTAATATTTACAAATGCTAAACATTAATAACTATCACTATAGCCAAAATTCCCATATTGAAACAATTTCATAAATCCTTGTTTCCTGTTTCCATACGGCATATACAGGGATTTGGTTGATATTGCTGTACAACAAGAGTTAATTCTGGTATTCCATTCTTTACTCCACCCAAAAGTATAATATCTTGGGTGGGGCGGGGGGGGGGAAGCTATAGTATTTATGAAAGTATGAAAAACTTGGTCCTTTCCAAAAATTTGAAAAGTACTTCACAATAAACCCAAGACCAAAGACATTTAATCTGACCATGAACCACATTAAAAGAACTTTTAAGACTTTTTTAAGGTAACTTTATTTCTATGTTATTAAAAATCAAAGTAAGTTTTGGGAGACAATTATTTTCTTTTAAAAATAACCATACAGCAATTCTAACAGCTGTACATATTGTTGTGCTCTAAAAACTGAAATACATAACGTATACATAAATAACAGATAAAAATATGGTACACATAACATCAGTTTATAAGTAACCTTGTGAAAAACTTAGCAATTACATTTTACAGAACTACACACACACACACACACACAAAGAACATTTTTATTTAACAGCTTGACTCGGCTCGAAGATTAAATCCTGTTTCCACATTTACTAATAAAAGGTATTTTTTAGAAAATAGAGCTAGCCAAAACTATCATCTTTGAAAATTAGAAACACAAGGGTATAACTATGTAACTACGTACAGTAAAAGTATTTCTCTTAGTTCCATAAATAAATACCTCCCAAGCACTTCTTTTTTTAGACTGAGTCTCACTTTATCACTCAGGGCACAGAATGCAGTGGCAGGATCTTGGCTTACTGCAAGCTCCACCTGCCAGGCTCAAGCGATTCTCTCACATCACCTTCCCGAGTAGCTGGGACTACAGGTGTGTGTCACCACGCCCGGCTAATTTTCGTATTTTTAGTAGAGACAAGCTTCACAATGTTGGCCAGGCTGTTCTCAAACTCTTGGCCTCAAGTGATCTGCCCACTTTGGCCACCCAAAGTTCTGAGATTACAGGAGTGAGCCACTGCTCCTGGCATCAAGCACTTTTTATATCAAATAAATTATTATAAAATATCATATGAATATGGAACACTGTATCACATTGTGATCATCACTTTTGCTCATCTAAATTAAACGTCAAAGTTAATATAACAGCCTCCAAAAAGACAGACATTTTAATGTACAGCAAAACTAACCCAATGGGATAGAAATCAGTGTAGTGTATGCCCCTGGGGGACTTGACTGGAAATTGGCATGAAGGAACTTTCCAGTGTGACAGAAATGCTCTATCTTCATTGGGGTACTGATGACATCATACAGACATTTGCCAAAACTCATAAAACTAAATGAGATCTGTAAACTGTTCTCTCTGTAATTATACCTCAATTTTTTTCTTTTTATGGTTTTATAGGTTTATTTTCAGAGTAAAACAATTACACAATTTAAATCCAGTTCCAACAGAATTACTCTATCAAAGTCAGCAATAATGCCAAAATGCATTCTCACTTACGGACACTCACCAGTATCATCTGAGTCATCTGATGATGACTCAAAAGTCAAATGGGTCTGATATTTTATTCATATACATCTCTCTCATCTGCAATATAATCTACAATTTGTTGTGGACATATTAACTTTTCCACATCTATATCAGGAATTTCAAACCCAAATTTATTTTCCATGACCATGCTTACTCTCTATTTGGTCTCAACTGTCAAAGCACAGGTCTTTCATAAAATAAGAATTCACGGAGGGCTTCTCTGGGTCAATCTTGTCATAGAGTTTCAAGATATAAAGAAGACAGTCTTTGATTCCCTCTAACGTCAAAGGGGACACGTCACTATACTGGCAGCACAACTGTGTAACCTCTACCCAGCACCTGCACAAGCACCAAGCCCACTGCGGAGTAAGCTGCAAAGCCCCAGCCTCATCAGAGTCCCCACAGAGCACAGGCAATGCTGAGCAGTGGGCTGTGGCCAGCATGGGACCCGGGGCATCAGTGCGATGGCCAAGGGCAGGTGGCAGACACAAGCAGATAGGACACAAGCTGCCATGGCTACCCCGACCCAGGATTTCCTACCTCAATTTTTTAAAAAGAAACATAGGAGGCCAGGTCCAGTGACTCACGCCAGTAGTCCCAACACTTTGGGGGGCCAAGGCGGGCAGATCACTTGAGGTCAGGAGTTCGAGCCAGCCTGGTCAACATGGCAAAACCCCATCTCTAATAAAAATACAAAAATTAGCAACACATGGTGGCACGCACTTGTAATCCCAGCTACTTGAGAGGCTGAGGCAGGAGAATCGCTTGAATCCAAGAGACAAAGGATGCAGCGAGCAGACATCACACCACCACTGCATTCCAGCCTGAGCAACAGCGTGAGTGAGACTCCGTCTCAAAAAGAAAAAAAAAAAAAAGATGGTGAGAGCAGGGGGGCCACACAGAGCAATTCCTGTCAAGAAGTTGACAAATGGAATCAAATGATGTTCAAATACAATTTCAAATATTATGTAGTATTTAATAACTGTTTTTAAAATCCTTACATTGTTAAAAAAAAAAAAATTCCAGTATTTTTTCCGTATGCTTGTAACCTATGCCAAAGAAAACCAGTGAACTGCAGCCCTCTGATTAGAAAATTCTACTCTAAGCTATATAGCTGTCCATCTCAAATAATCTGCTATTCATTTCCTCTCAACAACCTAATTGAGAAAAATATTTCTGAATAACTGAACTGTTGAAGGATCTCATTTTCATCCTTAGTTTGAAATAAGCCATTAAAAAAGCAAGATACTTCAGTCATGAATGCTTTGTACCTCCATAACCCATTACAAACACCAAGTTAAACTGTCAAGCTACACCTCACAGTTTCTTGAAAAGGAGTTACAACATCAGCCGGACATGGTGGTGCATGCCTGTAGTCACAGGTACTTGGAAAGCTGACATGGGAGAATCGCTTGAGCCCAAGAGTTTGAGACCAGCCTGGGCAACATAGCAAGACCCTGTCTCAAACAAACAAAAAAAGACTTACAACATCATGACATCTGTTACCATATTCTACAGAGATATTAAGAACATAACATTGCCTTACAGGAAGTGTTTAAAAAGGTCTGCTTCTTTGATATAACTAGTATGTTTTCTCCTCAAGGATCTTGAAAGTACATAGAAGACTGCATTTCCTTTTATGCTCTAGCCAGCGAAAAGCTCAAAAACTAATTTAAGATGGAACCAACTAAATTATGCTTGTCTTTATAGCCTGAATATCTCCATTCTGTTTTTCTACCCTTATTTCACCCCATTCATGTAAACTATTGGGTTAAGATTCTGAGGTGTGTCACTGAGTCTCAACCACATATATTTTATGTATTTAGCACTTCGCAGTGACTTAAAAGTAATTTCAAAAGGGCATAAATAAGTGGTGTAACTTCACTGTGAATTACACATTAAGACCAGTAGAAGTAATCATTTTTACAATGGTGGCCAACCTTAAAGATAAAAAGTAAGATTTTGAGAATTTAAGACTGTCACATTGGGAAATGGCAAACTTTTAAAACTACAAATCTACCTCTAGCAGAGTTAAACCACTCATAAATAAGTTTAGGTTGGTCATAAGAACATTTGTTCACTGGGTTGTCTTACAACTCCTGGGCCTTGTCTGAAAACTAAGAACATCTCAAAACAGAAAGGAAATTATTCAAGTCTGTTTTTAGGCTAGAGGTGGTTTTTTACTTTATCTTTACCCGGGCTCCTTCTACTGATAAAAAAATAAAACTATGGAATTATACGGGCAAATTTTATCAACAAAAGAAATGATATTTTAAAAACACTTTAAAATCAACATTTTAGAAAGTATAGATTAAAAACTGACTTTACTATAGACACAAAACGAAATAAACATCTGTGAACTGAAAATTCAAATATTCCAATTTTATATGTGGCATATGCCATTTCAACATACAAAATTACTTTTCAGTGTTAATCCTTCGATGTACGAAGGGTTAAATCTTTTGAAATCATTTTAAATATTTTAAATAATTTCTTGGTAATGTAATGTTTACCTGTATCTGTTCTGCTGTCCATTGGTCTAGGTTGACTGATTTGACCCTGGATATATGAACCCCAAGATTTCTATGAATTCCAGCACATCTGATGCAAATAAACACACCAATATTCCAGGAAGCCCATCGAGGACCTAATTTAGAAGAAGAAACCACACACACACAAAAAAAGCAAATATTAAAAACTAAAATAAACATAACAGCATATTAGAAGCATTTTCGGTTTTATATAATTATAATGGAAGCTTACAGAAGTCACATGCTCAAATTTCCAAACGGTACTGGCAGCAGTCTGCTACATGTGTCTTGGCAATCTTCAAGAACCTTACTGATTTTACTCATTTTGCTTTCCTAGAAACTTCCCCTCCATTCTAAGATTTTAAAACTAATTTATAAAAACAGTTTCTTCACTTAGCATAGTTGAATCAAGAATAGTAATACCCTACTGTAAAAATAATTTATTAAATGCATAAGATATGCTCACAAGATTAACAACAAATAAAAATCAAAGACATTTCAAAAATTAAATGTAGAAATTAATAAGAAAAAGACAACCAGTCCAATAGAAAATAAGCAAAAAGATATGAAAGAACAATTCACAGAAGAAATCTATGGCCAATAAGCATGAAAATATGCACAGTCTCACTGGAAATTAGTGAAAGTGCTTTTTAACTCGACAGTTACTTCCATTTTGCACCCAACATACTGGAAAAAAAAATTTTTAACTACTAGTACTAAGTGTTGGCAAGAAGGGGAAACAAAGACAAATTCAAAAAGCCTTGTATCACCATGGCTAAATCTCAAATATTACACTGACATTAAAAAAGGTTACAGATAAGTGTACACAGTGTGAAACCATTTACATAAGTCGAAAAATGTGCAAAATAATAGCATACTGCATATTAATTAAATGTATCCACAAATTTCATGAAACTGAGTCAGGTAACTTGGTGGTGAGGAAAGCGGATGTGATCAGGGAAAAGTTCACTGCGGACTTGAAGAGCACACTGAATTGCTAAGCTGTATGGCAAGAATACAAATTTTTGTTTCAGTAACATATAACAGGCATATATGAACTAAGGTGTGCTACAAAATGTTAGTTCTTCAGCTCATGGTCAAAAAGTTGTGAAAAACACTGCCAAGAAACTCACATATGAATACAAGAATACAAGTCTTAGCTGTACAATTCTTCATACCTTTGAATATATTCTTTCACAATATTTTTTAAAATTTCTGAAGATTATTTTCACATATTGCTTGTAAAATTAATAAAGTAAAAATGGAAAAATAAAAGTAATATCTGCAAAATAGGCCAAATATTCAGAATCATATTCCTAACAGACTTCTATAAATTATTTATGAAAAATGTACGTATATGGTAAGAGATATCAATAAAAATCAAGCAGCTGGACACAGTGGTTCACGCCTTTAATTCCAGCACTTTGGGAGGCCAAGGCAGGTGGATCATTTGAGGTCAGGAGTTCGAGACCAGCCTGGCCAACATGGAGAAACCCTGTCTCTACTAAAAATACAAAAAGTAACCAGGCATGGTGGCAGGTGCCTGTAATCCCAGCTACTCAGGAGGCTGAGGCAGGAGAATCATTCGAACCCTGGAGGCAGAGATTGCAGTGAGTCAAGATCTCGCCACTCTACTCCAACCTGGGTGACAGAGCGAGACTCCGTCTCAAAAAAAAATAAAAATAAAAATAAAAATAAAATAAAGCTTTTTCTAAACGTAGCCTTCTGTTTTAAGTACATGCTGTTTATCTAAAGGTGACACTGCTCTACAAAACAACATTAAAGCTAATAATTACAATATACTAAAACTAAAAATAATGCCTCCCCAAATTCTTTAATTACACAGCAGGAAGATTATGCACATGCAACTTATCCCCAAATATTCTGCTTTTACATTTGAGAAATGACATCCATAAACTGGCAAACATACATCTGGGACATCTATGACTACTCTAAACAGAGCTGCCTCTCCCAATTACTTTCCACTCTGTCTCATCATTTCTAACACAACAATTTACAACATAACAATGTTTTGAAGCTTACACATTAAGGTAAATAGTTACAGAGTAATAGCTGGAGGGTTTAATTATTTTTAGCAAGTAAGTCTCAAACTAAGAAAGGTTAAAGAGACACACAGTGGGCCGGAAACAGTGGCTCACACCTGTAATCCCTGCACTTTGGGAAACCAAGGTGGGAGGATAACTTGAGGCCAGGAGTTTGAGACCAGCCCAGGTAACATAGTGAAACCACAGTGGTCTCTAATAAAAATTAAAAACTACACACCACACGTAGTGGTGAGTGCCTGCAGGTCTAACTACTTGGGAGGCTGAGGCAGAAGGATCGCTTGAGCCCAGGAGTTCAAAGTCCCTTTGAGCTATGATGGTACCACTGCACTCTAGTCAGAAAAAAAGGGGGATGGCAGGGTGAAGGGAGAGAGAAGGGAAGGAGAAATGTACAGTGAATTCTAGATCAGTGTCTCTCAAACCCTAATGTGCATGCACATCAACTGGAAATATTATGAAAATGAAAACTTTAATTCTGTGGCCCTCAGAGTAGCTCCTAAGGTTCTGCATCCTAACGAGTTCCCAGTGATGCCCATGCTGCCATCCACAGTTGACATTTTTGAATAGCAAGGTTCTAGAGCATTCTCCACAATCTTTAACTCAAGCATTCAACACACTTTCTGATTTGCTTTTATATAACTAATGTAATTAAGGGACTGATAAATGTGGCAGCAGTAAGAATGGAAACGAACAAGTATGAAATCACCAGGAAGAACTGACAGGGCTTACTCATAGAAAACATAATAGCAAATGAGAAGGTAGAGGCCAAAATGCAAGTTCTGCACCTAGGATATAAAGCATGAGGGTACTTGTGGAGTCAGAAAACTGTAGGAGATTCAATGAATGCTTTAAATGATAGTGACATACCAAGATGAAAATGTCTGGCAGGTGATTTAGAATACAGGACTAAAGTTCAAACTGGATGCATACACACACACACACACACACACACACACACACACACACCTTCTTTTAAGATGAGAGTTGCAGTACCAAGAACAAAAAGAGCAAAAAAGCAGAGTACTAACTCTTAGGGAGAAAACGAAAGGCAGTAAAAGTAGAGAATGAGGTCATTACAAAGAAAAGCTGTTTTCAAAAACAGGGGGGTGGGGGGATGTTCAATAGTATCAAGTGTTCCAAAGAAGAGTAACTGGGCTAAGAAAGAACATCTGGATGTGGTAACTGAGGCTGAAAAATAATAGGTAACCTCAGAGATTAGGCAGAGCAAAAGGGAGGAAGCTCATCCACTCTGAATTCATTATCAGAGTAAGAGAGAGAAAGATAATTCACCCAATCTGAATTCCATTACCAGTTTACACTCTCGCACCATTTCAGTTTCCAACTCTAAACCTTTAAGTTTCCTGTTTTCCTCTATATTAGATTATAGGAAATATTTATCTCCTGTAAATGTCTACACTCATAACAGCATGTTACACAGAATGTGCCACAATATGCATCTACTCTTTTTTCATTTGCAATTAGTTCTGTCTCCTAAAGTACATGGTAAAGTTCCCACTGGGAAGACTCTTGTATCACCTTCTGTATCACCTATAGTAAGGGAATCAACTCTATAATTTAAAAAATCTGCTAGGTCTGATGACTCAGTCAAACACTCAAATGTTTTGATTTCTGGAACAATTGATCTACTATTTTTAAAAATGGAAATAAATCTGAAAACTATGGCAAAAATCACTATCTTAATATCAATTTTCCCATTCTTCCTTTAAGTAATAAAGGCTTCTGAATTTTAGCTAGAAACATGGCTGTCCTGACAGGAAGACTATATTTCTCAGCCTCTCCTGTAGAATGTAAACAGAAATGATATATTTTGCCATTAACCACACTGGGCCTGTGTTCTCCTGGCCTCTTCCTCTTTTCCATTTGCTGGGAAACAATAAGGAATGAACCTGCTACCCTGGATCCAGTTACAAAACCCCCATGGTGAAGATGACAGAAATACTCTACTAATACTGGACAGTTCATGTCCAGACCAATGTGAAGGAGAAATAAACTTCTATCCTGTTTAAGCCACTTTTTTTTTTTTCCTTTAAGACAGGGTCTCACTCTATTGCCCAGGCTAGAATGCAGTGGTGAAGATCTTGGCTCACTGAAATCTCTGCCTCCCAGGCTCAAGTGATCCTCCCACCTCAGCCTCACAAGTAGCTAGAACTACAGGCACACAACAACACCACGCCCAGTTAATTTTTGTATTTTTTGTAGAGACAGGATTTCACCATGGTGTCCAGGCTGTTCTCAAACTTCTGGGTTCAAGCAATCCACCTGCCTCAACTTCTCAAACTGCTGGGATTACAGGTATGAGCCACTGCACACTGTCAGTGTGAATTACATTTGAATGTTGGTAGCAGCAAACAGAACACACAAGAGATTTAACAATCCCTGATTTTAGAGCCCAAATTCTAAGAGGGGTTAAAGAATAATAAAAGCCTTTTTCATCAAACGTGAGTTTTCCAGATCCAATTTAAATCACCAGTTATCCACTATGTGTCTATTTTGACCAAAGTATTAAACAAAGATGACAAAACACAAATCCTGTCTTCAAGGAGCTTGAACTCTAATAATCATATAATGGTTATAGTAATAAGTACAAATGACAGAGGAACATAGAAGAGGTAAGAATGAATGTCGGCCAACAATATTGATGCAGACTTTGTAGAGACAGTGGCGTTTGATGTGATTATTACGTGGGCTGGGCACAGTGGTTCACGCCTACAATCCCAGCACTTTGGGAGGCCGAGGTGGGCAGATAACTTGAGGCCAGGAATTCAAGACCAGCCTGCCCAACATGGCAAAACTCCAACTCTACTAAAAACACAAAAATTAGCTGGGGGTGGTGGTACGTGCCTGCAGTACCAGCTACTCAGGAGGCTGAGGTGTGAGAATCGCTTGAACCCTGGAAGGCAGAGGTTGCAGTAAGCCGAGATCCTGCCACTGCACTCCAGCCTGGGCAACAGAGGGAGAACCTGTCTTTAAAAAAAAAAAAAAAAAAAACCCTCAAGTTACAGCAGGTAAAGTCTGGACACGATATAAGAACA